TAATTTTCATTGAACTTTATTCAAATATTATAAAATTTGAATATTTTTATAAAATTATTTTAACAGTACCACCTCCCCACTTCCCGCTCAGGTTTTTTTTTTTTTTTTTTTTTTTAGCTTTGGTTAAACTTCATGTGAATCTGTTATCAAATTGCAGACTTACAATTAGTAGACCCTGTACCCCAAACCCTAAGAGAAGCCCTGATGTTAAATATCAGACTTATATGCAAGATTAAATCTTCAGGAGTTCACAAGTATGAAAAAACAACTTTTTATCTGAACATAAATTCACTTTAAGGTGCATTTTCGGGGCTTATATGACTGAATGTTTTGGTAATATATACATTAATTTAAATGTATGACTACACGTATTAATTGACAAAGTTCAAAGGTATGAATAGAAAAAAATATTGGTTTTGTGGACAGGTTGGATTGAAAATCGGACAGGTCAAATATATGAGCACCTGTCCGAAGGACAGGTGCTCACAAAAGTTAGTGTCTAGCCCTGGTTAAGACATGTATTTGATCAATTTTGTTTGAATTTATTATTATATTTATTTATTTTTTAGGCAATGTCAGCAATTTATCCATTCAACAAGGCTTGTATATTAGAGCATTCTGTAGTGGGCTAGACCAAGTACTCACTCCATATAGACAAGCACTGCTGCAGTTGGAGAGAGATATTTTGGCAGATTCTCATCTGCCTGTGACCCATGTTCAGTGTGCCCTTGAAGAGGTATATAGCATATATTAAAACGCTCCAAACAGAAGAAGTGTTGTTTTAATGGTATTTAAGATTGATAGTGAAGACAGCAGTTTTGTAAATAGCTTATCATGCTGTAAGAAATGGTGTCATAGGTTAAAGTGACATTATTTCATCTATTTCATATAAAACTATCATGAGGTCATTTTACAAAATTGTTTTCCCTCAGAGCAGGGCTGTCTTATGTGTGTGAAGTTACCAACCTTATTGTATTATTCTGGCACAGTCATATATATATATATATATATATATATATATATATATATATAATTTTTTATATAATTTTTTTTTGAAAAATTTCACCTTCTGAATACATGGTGACCATGCCTTCTTTTCTCTCCAAGTTTCAGCTACTGTTCCCAGCTTTATTAGGGATTATAGACCAGTTGCTTCAACACAGAGCTCATGGATGTCAAATTTTGGAGATATTGCACAAAAATGCATCCACTGGTGTGCCCAAAGTCAAGGCAGCCTTAAATCAGTGAGTTAGTTTTGTTGAGCAACAGTAATGAAAATATGAATGAATTGAATGGGTGCTGTACCAGTCATCATATGAGAATATAGATTTTTCATTTTGTTTTTTTTTTTTTTTTTTGATGAATCAGAACAAAAGTTATCTTTAAAAAAACATTGTATTTTAGTTATTTGTCATAGTTATTTTTCAAGTTATAACTGCTGTGATGGAGCAAAATTGGTCATATGTTTTTAATATATCAAACCCCCTTTTCTTTAAAAAATTTTTTTTTACGTTACATTTCCTCAAATTTTAGAATCCTGCATGTGTGTCATGGAGTTTTCTACAAGCAATTGTCTGCCTGGATGCTACATGGTCTTCTACTGGATCAGCATGAGGAGTTCTTCATTACCAAGGCCTCTAAGGAACCCAGTAAGAGTCAGAGATCAGTAGAAGATGATGACTTGGGGATAGCAGGAGTCACAGGGAGACAGTTACAGCAGATTATGGTAAATGTTGTGAAGTTGATTTTAGTGTACATAAGTTAAAACAATTTGAGATATTACTTGTATGCAATAAAATTGTTAGTTACCTTAAAATAACTTTTGATTAGCATCAGATCAGTACCAGGTGCTTTGTTGTATTGAAAAAAAATTAATTTAAGATTCCACATAATTTTTGTGTGGTTGAATATTTTATGTTTAGGAAAGTGAGATAAAAAATAGTTAAGATACTTGTTTGGTGGATGGTACAAATTGTTTTGTTCAAGTAATGAAGTTCATCATTAATTAATGTGTTGTCTTCCATAACAATGAGTTCAGAATCTTTAAAATAAAAATTTAGATGTATACTCTATTTCTAGAGCTGTTTTATCAAGAAGTAATAAAAAATCTATTGACTCCACTCAGTGTTAAAAATTAAGGCTGGACCGTCTGCCCGGGGCTGACAACTTTCAGAAAGGGCTGAGAAGTTTTCCCACCTGGCAGACATTCAGTCCAGCTACTTTTCAAGATGGCTGGACTTCTGGTCCAGCAACTTATTTTCCTAAGAGGCAAACACTGACTCCACTTCAAATCAGGTTTTTTTTTTTAATAATTGCAGCAGTTAGCAGAAGATGATCTTGTGGCTCATTATGAACAGTTTACACTGCGAGCAGGAATGCTACTTTCATACATCCCAACAAGGGTAGCCAACAAGATTTTGTTTGTAGGGGAGTCTGTCTGCATGTTTTCCAGTGAAAACAAGAAGGGAGGAGTTATGTACAAAAGTATGTGTTGGTTTATATTATTCATTGTAAAATTATAGAAATCAAAGGAATTTGAATTGGTTCTGTGCCCTGGTTTTTATGCTTGAGGTTTTGTGTTCAGCACATTAGTGTTTTCTTTGTTTTAACCAAATGGAATTGATACACGGTTGTTGTTGTTGCCTTTTTGAAAAGCTGTTTTGTATGAGTTGAATGATCTTGTATAAAGGAGACCTTGTTAGTTTCTGATTACCTTAATTTTGTTTTTAAGGGTCTGTATTGAAAAATAAGGAAGACTCATTTGCCAAAGCACTACAGGAACTAAGTCAAGAAGAGGAGTTTAGTTTGATGTCATTTGAGAATGTCATTGACAAAATAAGAGTGTGTGTTGCTGAGGTAAGGATGTAACTTCATATTCATGTAAGTCTAGTACATTAATTATTTTACCAACTCTCCCTTTTACTAACCCATATTCCTGGATTGTTATTTACAAGGTACTGCATGAAAGTAATGATTTGTATGGAGAACTCAACAGGACCAGGTCTCAACATAAATTGAAATATCTGTGATGTATTTCCTTACAGACTTTATGGAAACTGGTGGTTGAAGAGTCAGATCTGATTGGCCACTTACGCATTATCAAAGATTTTTATTTGCTGGGAAGGGGTGAGCTGTTCTTAGCCTTCATTGACCAGTCCCAAGGACTGCTTAATCCTCCACCAACAGGAACTACAGAACAGGGTATGTGTACATCTTGGATGGTTCATGAGTGAATCCCTACTGGTTTATTTTTGTGCTACCCAGACTGAATAATTAGAAGAAGACTAAGGTCTGTGCTTCTTGATTATTCCTAATAATAGACTAATCACTGTGAAAAACATGATATTTCTATGGGGGGAAACTTTGATCTAACAAAGAAGAAAAATGTTGACCATTGTTGTGAAGAATGCCTTGATACATGTTTGGGCCAGACGTCCTTAGAAATATTTCCATACTACTTGAAAAATTGGGAAAGTACAGAGTGGCAAATCATTGCAGATTAGTCTTAAAACTGATTTCATGTTAAGTACAGTGGAAACTAATTTCCACCCTCACCTTTGCAGATGTAAACATGGCATTTCAGCATGCAGCAAGGAGCGTCCTGTTTGAAAATGAAGAAGTAATGCAGAGATTCAAATTAACTGTGGAGAACAAATCTGAAAAGTCTCAGACCAAAAGTGAGTTATTACCTAGTTGAAAAATGTTTTATTTTATAAATAGGAAACAGTTAAAGTTTTTGTGTTTTTTCTTCGAGCTAATTAATCACTTCAATTAAGGTTTAAGTTGCTTTTTTAATAAAAAAATGAATGTTAATTTTATACAAAACTTTCTTCCTTTGATTCATGAGTATAATTAAATGATGACATGCTAATTATCTTGTGCATATCCATACAGAGACTGGCCTTGCAGAAACAGTTCAGAGTGCAGAACCAGGCTGGAATGTTTTAGGTTTGGAGTATTCTGTGGAGTGGCCTCTACACCTCCTGACTACAGAGAGTTGCTTGGAAAAGTAAGATATTGTGATCTGTTGCTGCATAGAGCCAAGCACCAACTTTCATCATCAAATGACAAATTCATTGAGTTTTTCTGATAACCAGTCTAAACTATTTGTCTGTGAAAGCTTAAAACTGTCCTCAATCTGAGTAATTGCATAGGAAATTATATTTCCTATCTTGATCCAAAAGAAGATTGTTTCTTAGTTTAGCTTTAAACTTTAATATCAGTTTCCAGTCAAAGGGTGGCATTTTGATAGAATTCTTTGTTCTACAAATGCATTCATAAATTTGTGAAAAGGTATGTCTGTTTAGAGTTTCTACACAAGACATCTTAAAGAAGCTATGTTGATAAGCTATTCAAAATATAGCAATCAGTTAATTCTTCTTTCAGATATAACCAGTTATTCAGTTTTCTATTGTTGGTGAAACGAGTAGAGCTAGACCTGCAGCACTGCTGGATGCTGCATATGAACCATTTTAAACAGCAGGAAATGCTTGAAAATGAAAGGCAAATGTGGAACCTACGCATGCACATGTCTTTCTTAGTGGATAATCTACAATATTATTTACAGGTGGGTCTTGATAAACATTTGTGTTGAATATGATATTCAAGAAAGACTATTTCCAAGTTCTTGTGCAGGTTTAAATATTCCTTAAAGAAGGTTCTTTTTAATGGTTCCATAAAACACCTTAACTAGCCTGATGACTGTTTCATACAAGCTCTCTGCTGACTGATTACATCTTAGGCTCAGGTAGATGCATTGGACAGGTATAATTACTGAGCCTACTGGTTGCTGTTGTCTTGGGCTTCTTTTATGGGGAAATACATTGACATAGATGATAGTTCAGTTCTGTTGATACAAGATCAGTCTTTATTAGAATTCAATTGTTAAATGACATTTGAATTACAAAAACCATTTTTTGTACAAATGACACAAAAGTAATTGAATTTTTCTTTCATAGTAAAATTGTGTAATTATCTCTCATCGTTTCAGGTTGATGTAATAGAGTCACAGTTCAGTATACTATTGGAGAAGATCCATACCACAAGAGACTTTGAAGCCATTCGTCTTGCTCATGATCAGTTTATCACTTCACTGTTATCACAGTCATTTTTGCTTATGAAAGGAGTGAGTTATTCTTCATTTTCGTCATTGTATGTACAGTCACAGAGTAACGACAGTGTTTATTGCCATCACCTGCATCAGTTGTGTTCATTAGTCCTTTGCAATTTTTTTTTGCAATAATTGGGAAGCAGTGTTGATGATTTGTTTAAACTCATTACTTTAACATTTGTTTTGATTTTAAATAACTTAAATCATATTTTGGTGTCCATTTTTTCAGAATATGTTTTATTGGCCAAGGATGATCAATATTCTCAAAATTTGAACTTTGTTCACAGTAATACATCTGTATTCTGAGTAGACCAGCTGAAGTCTCCATGAGGGAGATGAAACATCACCAACTAGACAAATTTGTATGTCCAGTAATAGTTTAAAAACTACTTTTATTTCTTTACAGTAATTAACATTTTTCCTTGGCATAGGTTGGTATTGAATGGTTGTGTGAAATATGAAAACAATAATATGTAACTGTAGGTTTTCTTTCACACTGTAGGTCAGTCGTTGTCTGCATGAAATTCTGAATGGCTGCCATGCATTTTGTGTTCTGGTCAGTCATTCTCACACTGGAATGGATGAGAGACAAATTGCAAAGCTTGAAGAAATAGCAAAGGTGAGCACATTATCATTGCAATTTTTTATGTATTTAGAATAAGTGGTTTGCAAGTGGTATTATAGGAGACACTTTTTAAAGGGTTTGTAGAAATTGAATTCTGTATGATAAATGTTATATAATGCACGTACATAAATATTTATTTTATATAGGAGAACATTTCCTTATTTTAGAATTTCCAACGTCAGTCCAAGCTCCTGTTCAGCATACTGTCCAGTGTAAAGAGTCATCAGGGGAGTCCACACCTGGCACAGCTACTGCTTAGAATGGACTACAATAAGTACTTCAGTATGGCTGGAGGGCAGTTGGGAAGGTAGATATTTAGTTTTTACCAAGTTTTTTCTTGGAAGTTCTAACATGACCTCATAAACCAATCATAACAATATAACCTAATAAAACTTGGATATGTTAAATGGAAACACAAGATCAGTGTTTTCAGGATTATCACCTCAGGGAGAGACAAAATAGTATTGTTGTCACTAGTACAAGTCTTAGAGTAGATCTTTGCCCGTAACAGTGTGCTTCACACCAAATTTAATGGCATCTTTGCTGTAGTATGCTATAAATGGGTACCAGTAACATCAATACCCTTCTTTTCTCATTAGCACATTTGAAGTGGTCAAAGAGCATGGAAAATAACTGTGAATGGCCAGTAATTATCATTTTATTCATTTTTAGACCTCAAAAAGTGATGTTTTCCTTTTAGGAGGCGGCCCGATGAAATACCTCAAATTTATTTTTTGGTGGGTTAAGCTACATTTTCCTTTTCATTTTAGCTGTAGTCCCATTGAAGCTCCCTCAGCAACTTTACCATCATCAAGTCGGAGGTGAAGGCAGATGGTCAGATGTTTTGGAGTATTTCATTAATTGACAATTTTACAGATAATTGACAAACACTGAAGTTGATCTCTGTACTGCCTGTAATGCTGAACCAGATGTGGCTTGTTAAATGTATCAAGTTACTCAGAAGTATGAACTGGCCTATTTATGTGAATAATCAACTAAAAGACAGAGTTTGCTGCAAGCATGGTGTAACTTGGAAATTTGTTCCACTTGGCCTTTCTGCACAAAGGGTGTGGAATTGTAATAATGTCCAATAAAATGTTTAGCTGTACAGTTGTACAAAATAAAGTCAAAATGGATTTCTCATATTTTATTAATCAACAAAAACATTTTTTTCAAGATCTTACAAGCTTGTTAGAGAAAGCACCATATTTTTCAGTTCACCAAATGTATTTCACTTCAACACTTTGTATGACCCAAAACAATGCAAATAATCAAGTGGCAATAATGACTGCAAATAAATAATCGAGTTCAATACATTTCCTTATCTGTCATCCTTTTTAAATGGGAATTTGGAATAGAATTTTTCAAAAATGTTGCTTAAAAAGCCTCGACCAAACATTGAACTGTCATGTTCAGGCTTGATTAGTTGGTTTCTGGGGTCATTGGATTCATTCATTCTTCCCTGGCCCTGCCACTTAGAGTCAAAGTTTGGAAGTTCACCTGAAACCAAGTATGTTATATTTATTATTGTAAATGTCAAGGACATAGAATCAGGTAAAACAAAATGTGAAAAATTTGATGTTGAATTACGTGTAACTTTACCCTGGGTGATAAAAACCCTCAAAAAGTTATATCATAGTGTCCTCTACATATGAGACAAATACATTTAAAAAACTTACTCCCTTCTATATTTTTGTAATCTTCTTGCACTTGTTCTCTCCCATATTTGTCCCTGTGTGTGATAATTGTATGTGTCTTATCACCAATTTGCCTAATGACTGTTGTTTCCTCGTTCCCCTCACTGTCTCTCACCGTCTTCCTTTGTTCAATTTTCTTTAAAAGGAAAAAAAAAACATTTTACAGATTTTGGAAGCCATTTTTGTCGTGCTTTAAAATAATTTGAACACTGCTGTAATTAATCTGTAAGCTTTACTAGTGAAATAATCATTGGGAAAGAACATCATCATGTGCTACTTATGCTTAACAGGCCAGTTACTAGTAAGTCAAAGAGTTACTGGTTTGACTTCACACTTATTTGACCAAAATTCATAAAGTAAATGTTGACTAGCATTTGATGCGAATTTATTCCCAGTTGTTAAGTCTGGGTACATTTTGCTCATAAACAAATGGTATATACTTCTAAACAGTTATGCAAAAATTGAATAAAAGAGAAACTCTGACAATTTCACATTTTATTCAACCAGGTTTCTGGTCTTCTTGCAAATTGAGTGGTACGGCATACTTTGGGGAATTATTTTTTAAAAACCTCAAAGCCAGCAAGGGTCAAAATTTCCTGACCAAAGTAGGAGACCAGTGGCCTAAGATTCACAACACTTAATTTATTAAGTGAAAAACAAAGCATGAAGATTGTTAGATTAAACGCATGGTTAGCCTGTAACTGTGAACTTACCCCATCAGCCCCTCTTATGGTAACAAAAGATGATGATGACCCAAAAGATCTAAAAGATGGTTGATTAGGTGTAACTCTTGGCTCCTCATCTCTTTGATGTGGAGGTTCCTTAAAAGACGGAAGTCCTCTCAGAACAGCATCTAATCCTTTAGAACGCACATCAGCATCTAAGTCTAGAATTAGAACATAGGCAATAAACTGTAATATTGGACACCCACTATACATGTATTTGTTAGACTTGCTTTAAATTGTTATTTGAAATGAAAAGTATGTATTATTTGACTCTTCACCAGGTTCAGCAGCAAGAAACGTGTTTCAGTTACCTTTATCTTCCCTCTCCTCTGAACTGTATGGTGTAGGATTCAACTGAAATGATAAAAAAGTGTGAAAATTAAACTGAAATCACATCATACTGCAGACACCATATGCTTTTCAGTTCATCTGCATGCCTTTCTTACCAACTTCTAAACAACTCATAAAATAAATAAAAAGAACTCTTAAATTTTCCTTAAAAACCCATTTATTTATAGATTAAAACTATACAAAACTAGATTTAACTGTGACAGGTCTTTGAAATCTACTTACTCTGGATGTGTCTTCATCTGGTTGTTTCAGCATATAATCTCTGAGGTGGCCTGGACTCCTTTGTGGTGCATCTGGCGGCAAACCTGATTAGAAGTCAATGTAAGTTTACAATATGGTATAAAAATGCAATTTTGACCTTATCCTGGACCTAAGAACTTTAGAACACAGTTTTGTTTGCTCAATTATTTCAATTTGTAAACAGTGAAATTTTAGACGGGAGAAAAAATTTAAAAACCAAAGAGAAATTCCAGAATTAATTTGACTACTGTTAAAAAACAAAATATTACCATTACCTGGCATCATTCCTGGCCCAGGCCTGTCAATACCCATTCCTCGAAATTCTTCCTCCATTTGGCGAAACATGTCCTCAAATTGTCTAAATATTCCACTTCCATGTCCAAAACTCGGGAAGTGGGTACGGAACTCATCAAAGTCATCCTCCTCATCATCTTCATACAAAGGTCTAAAGAGTGGGCTACAAGAATAATGACATGGGACAGATGATTATGATAGGGAGTATATATGAATAACAAGCTCACAGTAGTGTCAAGCAAAAGCTATTACTACTCGTGTGTGTGTGTGTGTGTGTGTGTGTGTGTGTGTGTGACTACAGATGCAAGTGCATTTCATACATACAAACACTCAGTGTTTTCACATAAATCTAGACTGTATAAACACTTGACTCAAATGCTGGTGACAATGCAGCTTCAGTCTAGCAACAACTCATTTGGTTAGAAAGATAAAAGGATGTATCTATCTTATTTTCACAAATTCCTTTTTAATCTGGATCAAATATCTAGTCTGAAATAAATGGTGAACTATGCAAAAAAAGAAGAGAAGCTACTTTTGGAATACATTACATGTGGAGGATGTGGTATTTTTGTAACCAGGTGGAGGATGTGGTATTTTTGTAACCAGTCTGGTAACTGTCATACACATATAATAGATTTAGACTGCAGGCAGACTCCTCCTTTCAAGTGGAGTTCATAATTAAATGGCATCATGCTTGGTACTACCATCAAATAAGGTCAGTCTAATGAAGAGTGAAACTACTTGGTCATGTAAAATTCAGCAAGACATCCCAAGTACAATTTAAAAGGGAATTTTCAGGCAGATTACTAGTACTCATTTACTAACACTACCCGTTGACATTTAAGCACTAACAACCATATTAAACAGATAACCCACAAATTAACCAGCACTACCAGAGCGGATAAATATTAGCACTAGGGATTGCTTTGTTGGTCCTAAACAACTGTACGGCATGTTGGTTAATTTGTATTTGTGTTTAATATGAGTGTTAGTGCTAAAAGATCTGCAGGTAGTGTTAGTAAACGCCTAATCCGTTTATAAGGCCTGATTTTGTATCACATTACTGGGGAAGTGTCCCATACTTCACTTGAAAGCGTAAGTACTGTTTTCTTTCGAATTCCAGATTCTAAAAGTACACCTGTATGTCATTCTGCTAAAAATTTGCCCCTTTATAAACTAAGCTGCGTTTGACAGTCCAAAGGAGTACGTCTAAGATGCATATCATATGGCCAACAAAAGTCCAACGATGTTTTAAACTTGTAAGTTCGTTAACATTTTAATAACAATCTGACAGCTTGGAAAATTGACCAAGACCTATACAGCAGTCAAAATCTATTCTCTGTTCATCGAGCATCTAGAAAGACATCCAAACCACCGCACCTTCGGTTATCATTTCGATCTCTCCCAGGAATGCCGAAAAAGGACCGGAGAATGTCGTCTAAATTCATTTTTGGTGACGAAACATCGAGAATATTTACTAGTACATGGTTTAGGAAGTTACAATGGCACATGCGCACTCAAACTTTTCAGCGCCGGATATTACGTCAGAGTTTATACTCGTCGGCAAGCATGTGTGATTTTAATTCAGTGCACGGCTCACTCTGCCGGCAGCGCATTGTCCACAGTTCCTCTGGAAGCATTCCGATCCTGACACACTGCAATGGATAAACAAGAGTTGGCGGAGCAAATAAAGAAGAAAATAGAGGAATATACAACTGATCATGAAAATTGGAAAGTTGTTAAGAAAGGGGTAAGTGGTGCGTCGTCTGCTAAGATTTTCGGCCAAATCGCCAGATGGCCAAATTTCTAAAAGCTGGCCCTGTTGTATATACATAAAGCGTCTAATATTACTGTAAACAAAAGGTATTTAACGTTTTAAATTACCTCCATATCAGTTCTATTGCTTGAAATGATGTTATAATTGCCTTTTCTGGATATAGGAATGCTTTGGGGAAATTTTGGAAGCACCTTGTGTATTTTATTCCCGTTTGAATGACATTTTGAAATGAAGTCATTTTTAACTGGAATTCAAATATGATGATGAATATTAAGTGCTGAGCCAATAGGCATGGGTTCTCCACTTTTTACCATTGATTTGATTGAAGAATTACACACAAACCAAATGTTCTGCTCATTCATGAAATTTATATAAAGGATAATTACCTACACAAAACATGCTCGTCAAATCAGAGAGAACTTGCTTTTTACTGTTAAGCACAATTCATTTTCTAATCTTATGATCAGTGATTGATATTTGAAGCAATGCGTATTCCATCTGAATATTTTAAAACAATAAACCTCCTTTCATTAGAAAACAGTTATTTTTAGAATTAACAAAAATGAGTTTTTTCTCTGGAATGCAGCATTGAGATAAGACCAGCCCACTTACTTGGCTTACTAATCTAAATAATTCCAGCAATGAAGGGTATCAGGGAATTAAGTGAGTATTTACTATAGTATGGATTGATAAGTCTTTGTGCAGCTACTAGGCATGAAGCTGATCTATGACTTAAAGAATGAACTTTTGTTGACTGAAAAGATTTAGGTTGTTGCCTTAAAGCAATCCTTTTTTAAGTGACCAACATGTGTAATGCCTTTCACGCTTATGCCTGCCAATACATGAATGGAAAGATTTTAGAAACAGTCTAGCGCAACATGGTTGGACACTGAAAGGCCAAGAGCTTCCAATTACAGAATGTGAAAATAAAATTACCAAAGTATTTGGGTTTCTCAGGTGCAGGAAATTAGCCTGTGTTATCACTGATAGCATCTGAATACAATGCACACAGATTTGAATGTTTGGATACCTTGTGCTGGGGAGCTTTTTAACCATATCTGTGTTATGCTGGGAATCAAATTTCGTAGACAGAGGTTAAATAAATCATTACCAAGATTACCAACTTTATTTGTGAATAAAACACCCAACACCTGATCATGTTTCATGACCCTACATATTTCTACTTATTTCATTTTCCAGTGTCTGATGTGACCTGTGTTCATAACTGTGCCATTTCTGTATTTGTAAGTTTAATATTTTTCTTACCTTTTCTGTCTCCAGAAAGACGTGACTGTGTATTGTCGGTCCTCCACTGAATTCCAAGGCAATATGTAAGTTGACATGTTTACACTGCTTCTATATGTGATAATACATTGGTAAACACAAGTAGTAAATGGGATTAATGTACCTACTGACTTGTGGCCCTTTGAATAGAAAGGGGTCTGGAATACAGCATGCCTGTGCTCAATTGACTATGTTACCACAGAAGGTAGTCATAGTGTGACTTAATGCTTATGTAACTTTTTAATTATTTCCTTCAAATTGACCAAGGTGTATGCAAAAGAGTACAACGACCTGAAGTCTTGAGATATGTTTTAGATATTGCAGTAACTGCTTGGGCATTTTATGAATGAAATTAAAACCTGTAGGCCTTGAATATGACTGGTGGTCAATTGAGTCTAAAAGACCACCCCATAGGAGATAGAAAAATGATGGACGGTTGATATAGCTTGCATTAAAATTCAAAGCCTAAGAATGAAACAGCTGTATTTCATGCTCGTACTCTATCCATCTTCTTGAATGGATGACCTAGAGAACTTTGAAGAGCTGGTAGTAGATAAGATTTCTTGACACGTTTAGACTAGCAGAAAAAGGTGACCCGATACTTCAGTATATGATTACAAGAAAAACTAAATGTCAAACATGTCTGGCAAATCTAAATGTTTTTTATGTTTGGAAGTCTGATGATCCTCCAACAAACCTAAGTGGGATAATCAGAAATTTGTGACCGTTACTATTTTAAAAAGTTATAAAAGTCTGATTCAGAAAATCAATAGGGAGATGGGAATGTCTGGCTGGCTGAAAAAGATATGGGGTCCTGATCAATAGTGTGCATGCTCAAGAAAGAAACAGTCGGCTTTTTAAACTTATTCCAGACAGAATAGAGCAGACATCTGTATTGATTTCTGGATTTGCTTGGAAATTAAACACATCAAAGTGCTTATCCTAGCCATTGAAATAATACAACAGCTAAAACATTGTTCCTGGAAATATGTATTGAACATTTTTAGTATGTTTGGTTTGTAGCAATTGTGTACATTTTGGTGTGAAAGCTGTCATGGGAAGATTGACTTATCTCTCAAATTGCTTGTGAATAAGCTTAATCAGTTGTTGAAATTACTCACTAGTTTTTAATTGGAATTTTCAGAGATAGTGCAGAGTCCTGAATGAAGTATATTATGAACATAAGTGTATGGATTGATTTTTGGTTATATCACATAATGAAGTATCCTTTCACTAAACCTTAGTATAATGAGGTGCATTGTACATAAGAAATAGTAACAAACCTACTCATATTAAGATTTTTTTCAAAAAAGGTACATACAATTCAACAAACATGTTTTGTTTTGAATGTTTTATTTTTGTTTTGTTTTTTTCATATGAATTTTAGAAGTAACTTAACAAATATGTTCATGTAGTTCAGTAAATTAGTAGAGTCAGGGAATAATTTTTGATAATTTCACTATTTTATTCCACTTTTCCCATTTCAGTTACAAAGCTGAAGGCACAGTTGATGCTAAGCCAGAAAAGGTGTTTGAATATGTTGAACCTAAGCCAGATGGACTAAGGCCAAAATGGGACAAGGCAATCAAGGCAGTTGACACCATAGAAAAGATAGAAGAGGTACATGCACTTTTTTTAACATAAAGTGTACTGTACTTATTTGAACACAAAATCTTTGGGTGCCAGTGTCAGAGATGTGAAAATTTTCTATAGTTTTTTATGTGTGTGTGTGAGTATATCATATTGTGATTACTCACAAATTTTAAATTATGTTTTTTCCCAAGTGTTTTTTTTTTTTTTAAGATTTATTTATCATTTTAGTTACAACTGTACACATTAAATTTTTATGCATATTCTACACGTCATTTATGAAATACTTCTGATGTTCACAGTGTTATTGTATTGTTAATAAGATGTTAGACATTACATTTTGAGTACTGTCATGTTGGCAACTCTTCACACTTTTCTGTTCACAATTTTTAAATCCAAATTGTAGGAATAATGAACAATATTTTTTTCAAAGATATTGCAGCAGATTTTATCTGAATTTATTGAGAAAGGTCAGCAAACTGTAGCTTGTCTTGAATAACCAGATTTATTATTGGTATAATGTTCTTAAATGCAATTTATCAGTAGCAAGCCATTGCTAAATCGGCTCTTGTGTGTTCTTCATATTGAACCCTTCTCAAAGAATGCAGAACCACCGCTACTTTTAGAAAAGAAAGGCTTGAAAGGGATTCTGGAATTCAGCACCATAATTTTTTTCATCAATTTTCTTTTTGGTCCATAAATTATCTTTGAAAAATGCTCCTACAGTCAGGAAGTTGACACTTTCATCAATCAGTCTTCTGCATTTTTCTTTGATAGAGTAGGTTAATGGGTTTTTACCTGGGCTCCCCAGGTATACAAGGACATACTTTTACAGGTGCAAAATTGCAATTCGAAGAACCAATAATGATGTTCTGTAAACCTGAACTCATCCGTCAGTACAAATTGAAACCTTACTTGATATAAGGTGACATGGTTTAAGTAAAATAACTCACCAGGGTGTGCGCTTCTTGAAACATTAAATGCAGGTCGAGATAAGTTGAAACTTCTGGGATGTCAGCACCTAGTGACTTGAGACATTATTCATCCATGAGCTACTTAGCTTGTACAAAGAACTCAAAGTGCATTTGTCTATGTACATGAAGCATAGCTTGTTTCTGTCTGATACAATTACCATTACCTGTTATCTGAAAAAGAGATCTTGTTCAAGTACTTTTAAAAAGTAGGCTGAATAGAAAGACTTTTGGCCACAGTGACCATTTATATGTTGAATGATTGACGCCATCAACTCTGATACACTACAAGATGTATATATTTAAAAGATGTAATGCTATCATATATGCACAACTATTTTTATTTTCCTAAAATTTTGTTAGTTCTTTTTATTTTGATGGTAGAGACATTTTAATGTTTCTGACTTGACAGTTAAGTCCCTTCTTTAATCTCACTGTTTTTTATTCCAACTGCAAGTTTTCAAATGCACTCAAATAGGATGGTCCTTCCACTCACAATTTGATGCCTAATGGAGCATACTTGAGGCTGCACAATTATCCATCATATACCTGCCAATTATTGCTCCCTGTACTCAGGAATTCCTTTCATCTGAGTTACTGTGTCTGCATGTACCACGTCTAGCTTAGAAACTACCTGTGTGTAGTTTTAAGATGCAGATAAGAGATATTGTATTCTAGCCCATGGCAATATAGGAGCATAAGTCACATCGAATGAATAGATAAGTGGAGAATTATAAGATTATAGATCTGTGCCTCGTAACCTCAGCAGGGGTGGTCTGAGTAGGTTCAGGGTTGCCCTATGATGTGTAAACTTGCACCTTTTGTGCTCCCATTAAAAAAAATGATTCTACAACAGACTTACAGTACTGCTTATTTCTTGAAAATGACAGTTTGTCTTTCAGTGGTGCTAAAGTTAAAAAATCAGATTTCATTTCCTGTAGAATTTTATTAGATTTTTGTAATATTTCATAAATAAAAACTTCACAGAGTTTCCTTTTGAAAATGAGTAAAGCAGATTTGCGAAATTTCATGTTTTAAAAATGTAATGGGGACTGGGAAATATCCGGTCTCAACAATTCCTGTTTTATGTTCCTTGCACTCTGCTGGTAGCAGGAAGCTGTGATTAATTTTGATGTAAAGGTGTGTAGTATAAGTAATGTTCTGGGATAGCAGGCTAAGAAAATAAAACATTGCCTCAGCCTGCTTGAGAAAAGCACTGTTTTAACCCCATCAAGATTGGAAATACTCTAATAGACATCAGCAAATTCGAATATGAACTCCATGTCTTGGGAGCAGGCACAATGCAAATTAGAAAACCAATGCAGCAGTTGCAATATTGAATTGTTGTCTGAATACACCCTTGGGAGAGAATACAGATCCTATGTGATTCACTTTGTGGGAAAATTCTGAAATCCATATTGCTTATATAAATTCATTCAATGCCTGGCTTGTCTGTAAGTGGGCAGATGATGAATGGGTAAATTGAGTTGCTGATAATATAATGGCTTTTATTATCCTTGAACATGGTGATAAACTGCAATCCAGCCTACTGGTGCTGTATGTGGTTCATGCAGATTGTGGATGTGGTTTGGGGCTCCTAGGACAGTACTACCACTGAAATGTAATTAGTGTCTCATGAGTCACTGCCATGAGTTAGCAGTGGAAGTAGCAGTTTGGAAAGGTACATGTTCTAGTACCTCAAACATGTACAGGATGAACCTTACCCAACCAGCATCCTGCATACCCTAATTTATTTGTCTGGTATAGTGGTACATCATGTATAAGGTGAATAACAGCAGCAAAGCACTGAGAGAGCTCAGTAATGCCCCTAACAGACAGTCAGACAGATAACTGGTTTTAATTATTATTAAATAAGATATCGATATATAACTTATTGTTTAAAAACTTGGTCAACTGCCTACAGGTTTTGAAAATTTAATCAAAATCTGTCAGCAAACAGACAGACAGGGCCTAAGGGCCAAAACTTCAGGGGAATAATACAAATAGATACATACATGTACAATGTACTGGTATGTTTAGGCTGAAAGTTCATACTGTCATTGTTTATTTTTCTATATGGATGCCTTTGGTCTTATGTCTAGAAGAAAGTCTGATTGACCTTTTGTAAGCCATACATTAAGTACATTAACCTGATTAACAATTATAGTGTTTATTTCCTACATATGGTTATGCATCATTTCTCTAGTGCAGGAGGGGATTTTTATATAATCTAAAGTTGTGCAATATTGCGTTTTCCACAGGTTTTCTTTTCTTCATTTTACAAAAGGTCATGTAGACAAACATGTGATTTATAGTTATTTACCAGGGTTAAGATAAAGGCCCCATCCTTTGATTTATTTAATTGCTAAATGCTGAAATTAAACATTGGGATATTATTTTTTCCTTTTGTTTCCTGTTAATTTTTTCCACTGCTTGACCTGCCTTTTAAACAGACTCCATCCCGTCAGTCAAATGCTAGCTGGGAAAAGACATTACAAATAGCCATTGATTAGGTTGTCATGATATTAATATTTTAATTCAGGTATAACCTTGTCATTATTCATAATTGCACCACTATATTTTGGTATTTTGTTTCATAATTTTCACAACTGAAGAAATAAAAAGTGGACAATTTCTTAATTTTTTCCAGCCATTAGTAACACATATGTTACAAAATATTTTATAATTTCAGGGTCTCAGTGTGATGCGTACCTGCACCCACAGTGCTGCAATGGGTCTGATCTCCCCCAGAGATTTCCTGGACTTGTGTCTAACAGTCAAGAACGAAAATTCCATTTGCACAGTTGGTATGCTACTTCAGAATTCTTCTGATATCATATAAGAAAATTGCACAGCAAGTTTATACTCCTGTGGGACATGTATATTTTAAATCCATATTAACATCATGTGTGATTATAACTTTCAATTAGTTTGACTTATAATTATGCTAATTTGTCCCTGATTGTTCTCAGTTCATCAGTACTCAGTAGTTAAAAAAATATGTGTACTAAGCGTAGGCTTTCCTTTACACACACCTTATCTACCCCAAAACTATGTACTAGCTAGCATTGTATACATAGTTAACCCCAAACTTGACACTATTCTGCACCCCATTATGACTTCCTCTTTTATTGATCAGTCACCAGTATTGCACTCACAGCAAGTGTCCTATATACAGTGTAATATATTCTGTCTTTATATCTGTGGCTGAGAGGTGGGTGACTTATTCTCTGACCATAATTGCCTTTTGATGGACCTCTTGGTAGTTTATCAGTGATGATGATGGTGCTGATATACAGTTATGAGTGTGTTTTTGTATTTCACAGTCTGTGTGAATGTGTGTAGTCTTGTAACTGTCACCAGGTCCTTATAATGAAGTTGCACCCAGTTGAGAGAGCACTTGACCATTATTCTAGATAGTGTGAAAACATTAGTTCAATCGGATTGCTTAACTTAAGCTTAATGTTCCATATAATGAGGCCAAAGATGTCAAATTGACCTTTTATTTATTTATTTATTTATTTATTTATTGTTTTTGGAATGTATCTAACAAGATGTGTTTGAATTATACCCAATTATTACTTTTTTTTCTAAACAAATTTTGTAAAGGAGACATATTTGACAGTTACTCAGACATTTGTATCTTGTCTAAGGGTTACACAGGTATTTTATAAAGAACTACATGTACAACAATAAAAACAAGAAGCTTTTTAAATACCCATATCTACTGGCTTTTCCTCTTCACAGTGTATCAGTATTGGATTCTCTGTTTACTGAAGATATGATAGCACAAGTAGTTTATTTATATATGCTGTATTCTGCAGTTAATTGAATCTTCAGCAAAGGGCATAGGGTCAGTTTTCCAATTGACTGGCCAGTGTCCAGTCAAAACAATGGCAGCCCATCTGATTGTTTTCTTTGCAATCAGTGAACCAGGGTCTGGGGCTCAGAGATAATGCCATCCCAAACAGTGTGGTTATTTATCAATTTAAGGTACCAGGTAAATGCACAGTGTTCAGAAATTTGGCAACATTTGTGAGGTTAAGAAAGCAGAGTGTAGATATCCATGTAATCGTATCTTGTTTCAGAAACAACATGTTGTTTGCAGTTAAAAAGCTGCTTTAAAACAGTAATGCTAGAAGAGATGAAGATTGTTCGACTTGTGTACTACATGTGCAGGGGTTGTCAGCCTTAGACTTTTTGGGGTATCTTGAACATGTACAAATTACATTTTTTCTCTCCTTTTGCATTCAGTTGTTAATATATGCAGTTTGTTAATACATGTATGCATATTGAGCAATAATTCTGTATATTTAAAGAGATTAAGTGGTAACTGGCAATTCTGTGTATATTTATATTATATTATACTATAAGTTACTGGCAGCGCGAGTATAGTAACTGGCTCGCGCTGCCAGTAATTACGCCGCGGGATATTCAGGGCACAGACCATGATCATAAGATACTGCGAATAGAAAATAGAATTTAAAAATTAGACATTGCATGTGAATGAAGCCTAAGTGGTAACTGGCAATTCTGTGTATATTTTATTCTCTAAGTTATAACATTGAAATGGGAAATTGTCAGTGTACTGAAATGATGATGATGATATGCGTAAGTTAAGTCAATGTTCAAATGCTTAGGTTGAAGAAATTTACACAACAAAGAAAATGTAAACAGACAGTTATCTTTTTCCTTCCTGCCTTTGTTTTACAATTGATGAATAGATAAAAATCATTTTTAGATATGTGATATACTACTGATCACTGTGCAGCATGACATGGTCAAATTACTGGTGCATTTCTGGTCAGTGTGCAGCATGATATGGTCAAATTATGGGTGCATTACTGGTCAGTGTGCAGTATGCTATGGTCAAATCATGGGTGCATTACTGGTCAGTGTGCAGCATGCTATGGTCAAATCATGGGTGCATTACTGGTCAGTGTGCAGCATGCTATGGTCAAATCATGGGTGCATTACTGGTCAGTGTGCAGCATGCTATGGTCAAGTTATGGGTGTATTCACACTTAAATCACATAGATTTTGGTCCCCAAAAAGCCAGGGGCTGGCTAGATCATCCCAGATGAACTCCAAGCTAACAGAGTTGATTGCAGTCAAGCTGGTGGATTTCTAGGAAAGAGTTAGAGTGTGCCTATCTTTTTTGTACATGTACATGTACTCCTACCTGTAAGAGTAAGGTGGATGTCATGTGTTGGTTCAGTTGTGATTTCACCTGGGTTAGATATTAGCGTGAACAGGCCATGTAATTTTTGTCTGGGCACAACAAACATTCTTCTAATGTAGTTAGGCTGACATTAGTCAACTGGAGACTGATGAGCAGAGATAAGTGAGGGGATAAGTGACCCCTGCTCACACTGATAAGATTTATATCTCTTTAGCACAGAACTCTTCCCTGTAATTTGTCCAGAAGGGAACTAAAATAGGGTGTGTCTGGCACAGGAGCTGGGGCCAGTGTGTCTTCTCCCAGATGATTGATGGCTAATAGATCACAAGAGTAATGGCTATTTGACCTATGAAGCTCATATTCTGCACTCATAATCTACTTGCCCTGTAGGTTAGCAGGCAGTGAAGGATATACAATGCAGTTGGGCCATTTTGTGATACTTTGTAAACTAAATATTAGAAAAAAGAAAAAGAAAATCCAGCCCAACTTTAATTCTGCTGTTACCTTAAATGGAATGTTATACAATTGAACTGTAACCACACAATTTTGACTTAAAGTGAAAAGTTAGTATACAGCAAAATTGCTCCAGATGTTCACAGCTGACACAAGTATTTCTTACACTCTTCTTACACTCACCCAAGCAATCGACACTGTTGGTATATCTATTGAGAAAAACTTAACTTTTAATGTATCATTTTTTGTCAATAGTAATATAAAAAATGTCACCAGTGTTCAGTTGTTCACTCATGGGACAGTATTATATGCTATTAACAATCAGAAAAATGCACTTTCATCCTTGCAACAGCTGGAAATTAAAAGACAGCTTTATTAATTATACCTGTACTTTTTCATCTCAGCTGGAAGCATTGAGCACCCAGATTGTCCAGTTGAACCCAAGTATGTGCGTGGTACCAACCATCCATGTGGAATCTGCTGCTTCAGGATAGATGGGTAAGTATTGTACAAAGTTAAATAATAAGGGGAAGTACAGGGTGGTGTAAAATCAGTTGCAAACATGTCACATGCAAGAACATCATAAAACTAGAATCAACTCCAGAATGCATAACTGGTAGTTTTACTGAATGATTTGTATTAAAACTTACATGTTATATCAAAACACTCCTATTGGCTTGAACTTGTAAGACAAGGCTTGTGAAATGAGTGACCAGATAGGCTCAAAGAATATTAATGTTTTTTATCAGCAATACTGAAAAATTGTAAGGTGGTCCCACATTTAATGCTTATACATGTGCAAGCTGCCTTAGTTGAAGCATTAATCTTGAGGTTAAGGAAAATGTACAGTGCTTAGGGTCCTAGAAGTGCTGCTATTCATTAAATGGTTTATCAAACACCTTTTTAATTTTTTTTTTTTTACTTCAATAGGCCTGCAGTTTATGTAAGCTTTACAATGAACAGTGCACATTTTAACACGATTACAGGACGTCAAGCAAAACATGGTTTCCCTTTCCTGTTGTATGAATAACTTTTTAGTCAAGATGTGACAAATTGACTTCAGATTTTACTCCCACTGCCCTGTTTTCTTGGAAAACATAACCACACTACTGTGTATCTAGCATATGGATTAGATAAGAGGTGTGTTCAGAACAAGCTTGGAAGGAAAAATCTGCTGGTTAGCCTGACTTTTATATGTACGGACACAGTCAAACCATCTATCTTGTATATTTTAGATTTTCTAGAAGGCTTTGTTAGGCTAAAAATGCAGGCTGAGTAAGAAAATTTGAGCAGTGTTGATTAATTTTTTTGGTGTAGTTGAATGGCATGTATTTGCGAAATGTTCACCTCATAACTGCTAATTAACATATTTTTTTTACTTTAAATATTCAAGGGAACTTTATTTGATAAAAAAGCCAGTTAAATTAAAAAATCAGTATGATTGGTCAGTTGCCATAAAAGTTATTGGCACATTTTGCAGTCCTGTAATTTATTGCTTCCATAAGCCCAACATATTGTGCTATGTAAAGGGTCATTGAATATTAAAATTGTATCAGAATTGTACCTTATTTTGTTTTGGAATACTGGAAGTAACTTTTTACATTTTTTTTTTTTTTGACTTATTTTACTATTGTGGTTGCTACATTTATTCTGTATGGCTTGAAATATTCATTAGAGAGATGTTAATTTTCATGCACTTTAGATTGAGAACTGAGTAAAAAATATACACACACACACAGCTTACAAAGGAAGATACCGGTATGTTACCAAAGACTATCCCATTGAATCTAAACTAACTCCCTCACTCACACATATTCTCAAGCAACCCAGCCTTTGAAACAAGTATGCCAACAAAAAGTGTCAAACATACATGTAGGTGTAATCCTTGTGGTATTCACTCTTTGACCTACAAGGTGAGGTTGCCACACATCATTTGATGAAAATTAAACTATTCTTTTTACCCAGTTTCCTATTCAACAACTTTCCTTCAAACGTACATTGTCCCCTGGAGATAAAAAAAAAAAGGGAAATGAATTATTAGGATGGTTCTGAAATACACCTTATATCCAAATATTACACACAGTGTTGGGATTGCAATGTGTAAAAGTTTAATTTCCATATTTATTTGTAATTTTTATTGTAAGGGTGTGTTAGAGGAGGGTAGAAGTGACAGCTATAGATCCAGTTAGTCACTGGAGTTCCCTGCATGTACACATGTTGGGATGACCTTAAGGCAAGTGGCAGAGATGATCAGACTTTAAAAGGTTGGCATTTGCAAAAAAAAGTTAGCCTTGGCAAAGAGAAAAAATTGCATTAGTCAAAGGGGCTTACAAAAAATTACCTTCGGAGATATTCAGAACCAGTCCAAGAGCACCGATAAACTGATCATCCCCTGAGGCCTACGAAAGTTTGGAGAGTTTGAACTAAATGGAAGTGTGCCAATGTTTGCCACAGGAGATGTAGAAAAGATAGGAAGCCACAAAACATTTCCTTTATTTTGTGGATCCATTAATAATTCCTATTACAAGCCCCATACAGCAAAGGCAA